CCGCCGCCATGTCCCGCCCGGTGCCTTTGGCCAGCGCACTCACAGGAGGAGAGCAGAGACCAGCAGGACGGAGGCCCAGAGTGCCCAGCGCCGGCAGCCCATCTGCTGGCCCTGCTTCTGGTACATGCGGCCCCCACAGTTCCCACAGCAGCGGCAGCAGCAGAAGCAGCATCCCACCAGGGGCACGAGGATGATGAAGAGGAGCCCGATGGCCATGCAGACCAGGAAACCCAGTTCGTAGAGCAGCAGCTGGGAGAGGAAGAATAAGAGGCAGCATAACACTGGTGCCCCCGAAGGCTCCCCAGCTCTGAGGGCCCTGTCCAGACCACCACGGGGCAGGATGGGTCCCCCCAGGGGGTTGCACATCTCCCCTTGCTGCTGCCTAGCACCCAGGGCTCAGCCTCAGAGCAGCACCCACCAGCATCCCCCAGCCCACGGCGGTCTGGGTCTGCCGGCTCCCTGCCCTGGCTGCCTGCTTACCTCCTGGACTTGCTCCCCGATGGCCTCCTCACTCCAGGTCTGCCCAAAATCTGCAATCAGTTCTGGTGGACAATGAACAGAGAGGGCTGTGAGCAGGCGCTGGGTCCTGGGGGACTCTCCAGGAGGGACACACGCTCTGCTCACCCCAGAGAGGGGCTCCCGGCACTGGGCATCACCTCCAGCACTGCAGCTCAGAGCAGCTGTGAGCGCATGGCACATTTGTCCCTTCCAGCTGTCCCTCCCTGGCCATCATGTCACACAGCCCTTTTGCACCCAGGAAAAGTGCTGCCAGCCCCCAGGCTCTCGGGGGTCCACCGACCAAGGGGATCCTCACCCCAGCGGGCACCAGGGGCAGGCTCGGGAGAGGATGCTCCAACAACCACCTCGGCTGCCCTTGGGCTGCCCTCTGCAGCCCAGCCCCAGTAACATGCCAGCATGGGACGGGCACTGGGGCGAAGTCCCCCCAACAAGCTGCCTCTTTTATCCCCAGGGCTCACCCTGCCCGTGCCCCATGGCCTCATTACATGTCACGCTGGCACATGATGCCGTGTGATTGTACCCCGGTATCTGCGTGACACGAACAAGGCCACAAAGCCACTGCGTTATTTGCCAGCCATGCGTTTTCCTGCAAGTTGCTGGTGAGCAGGGGCTGAGCCCAGTGAAGGAGGAAGCACGAGTGCCAGCAACCAGAGTGTCAAATGCCTCCCCCAGGTGGGCATCGAACAGCTGCAGGGTCTCGGCATCACCATTGCGGACCTACAGCCATTTCGGGGCAGCGACACATCCCCTCGGAGGTGAAGGAGGGAGGGCGAGTGCTGGCAAGCAGGGCGGTATGCAGGGGGGGCCTGCAGCCTGCCATGCGGCCCCTGGCACTGGGATACATGCTCTTGGTGGCCCCAAGCCAGGTCCTGCCTGAGCACGCCTTGTCACCTGCAAGCACAGAGGGCTGCAAGCCAGGGAGGGACCCCGCAAACTCATAGGCAGCGTGCGGTTTGCTCGGCACCTTTCGTTGGGGCCTGGGGTGAAGATACCTGGAGGGAGGATGGGGCAGGACTCTGCAAGGGGGCATTGCCACCACAAATCCTGTCCCGGGGCCTGCCTGAGACTGCCCCACAGTTGTGATGGGACATGGGCAGGACACAGCTGGCAGACCTCTGGGACCCCGGTGCACTCCCCTCCTCCCCCACCCCATACCCCTTCTAACCCAGTACCCCAGCATTTAAATGCTGGATGGACAGTCAGCAGTGCTCAGGCTCAGCTGGGACCCTCCAACTCCGAGCAGCCCCCCCTCCCCCATCGCCAGCCCCCC